CCCACAAATGTTACCATGGCAAAACTGGAAGAGTCTACAATGTTACCCAGCATGCTGTTGGCACTGTTGTGAACAAACAAGTTAAGGGCAAGATTCTTGCCAAGAGAATTAATGTGTGTACTGAGCATATTAAGCATTCTAAAAGCAGGGATAGCTCCTAAAACGTGTGAAGGAAAATGATCCAAAAAAAAAGGAAGCCAAAGAGAAAGGTACCTGGGTTCAACTGAACCACCAGCCTGCTCCCCCCAGATTCAAAAAAAAAAAAAAGGAATGCCCCACAAATGTTACCATGGCAAAACTGGAAGAGTCTACAATGTTACCCAGCATGCTGTTGGCACTGTTGTGAACAAACAAGTTAAGGGCAAGATTCTTGCCAAGAGAATTAATGTGTGTACTGAGCATATTAAGCATTCTAAAAGCAGGGATAGCTCCTAAAACGTGTGAAGGAAAATGATCCAAAAAAAAAGGAAGCCAAAGAGAAAGGTACCTGGGTTCAACTGAAACACCAGCCTGCTCCACCCAGAGAAGCACTCTTTGTGAGAACCAATCAAAGGAGCCTGAGCTTCTGGAACCTATTCCCTAGGAATTCATGGCATGATGGGTCTTAAAAATAAACTATCCATGGTCTATAAAAATGCTTTCCGTAATTGAGTAGAATTGTGTTCCCTTCCCAAAGCTAATTTTAATTGGACTCTAATTCATTTTGTGATGTCTTTATTCAAATTTCGTAAAATTTTTACCTGATAGATGTTAGGTGGTTTATTATGCAACAAATAAAACTAAGTTGGTTAAAAAAAAGAAAAAGAAACAGAAATAGAAAACCGGAGGCCCCACCAAGACTCACTAAACAAGAATCTGAGTTGTAACAAAGTGCTAGTATAAGCTCTATCTGAAAGGTTTTTGAATCAGTCCATCTATGTACCATTTAAAGAAATTATTTATTTAATTAAATTAATTAATTAATTTGTTATTTTGTGATTTTACCAGAGAGAGAGAGAAAGTGAGAAAGCAAGCCCCCATGTGGGAGTCCAGCACCTCAACCACCATGCCACCTCCCAGCCCCTGTGTACAATTTTTAACTTTACAGTATAAGAATTTTGGATAATGAAAAATAAGTCTGTGACAGCTGTGACGAAATTAGGTTTATTTTGTCTACAGAAAGAATTTTTAAAATTCTTTTAAAGGAATATAAAATTTCCATATTCCAAACAATATGGAAAGTTATTGTTAATAAAAGCATAACCAGTTATTGCCACATCCATTAAGGATAGAAAATGAATTAAAGTTCAAATATTAACCTTTTTTTTTTGGAGAGATTTTCACTGTAGGGCGCGTGCGCTCGCCAGACAGACAGAGACATAGAGACAGAAAGCGAGAAATCACCCCCCAGGGGGGGATGGTCACGCCGCAATCCCTTCTCCTGCATTCTCCTCTCCGGATCTTGGGCACGCACGCACACGTGCCCGGCGTGAGTTTTAAGCCACCGGGTCCGGGACACGAACCGCAGTCGACTACGTGGGAGTCCAGCGACATAGCCATTACGCTAACTGCTGGTTCCCAAATATTAACCTTTAAGAACAAGAAATAAAAGCTTAAAATATTAAAACTACATGAATCTTTATTTCCATAAATTGCTTCCCTACAGAAAATATTACCTGACTGTCTCTATCCCATATTAGTCTATTGGTATCTTCTGAATCTTTTTTTAATTATTTATTTTATTTATTCATTAATTTATTTTTAATCTGACCAGAGAGAGACACACAGAAAAAGAGAGAGAGGTGAGGGGGGAACGGAGAAAGAAAGCCACCAGGTCCAGGTCTCGAACCGTGGTCAGCTACATGGGAGTGTCCAGCACCTTGACTACCATGCCACCTGTTGGTCCCCTATCTTCTGAATCCTATGTTACCTGACTTGACTGCACTTGGTGGTATACTTGTTCCCCTCATTAAGATGTAAACTCCTAGACCAGATCCTGCATGGTAGTGAAGGGAGGTGGAACCCACATGGTCAGTTGCAAAGTTCGAGTCCTGGACTGGTGGCTTGAAAAAACATGCTGGGAGCATGTGCGTGTGTGCCCAAACTCCTCAAAAGAAGAGAAATGGAGACAGGACTGTGGAGTGACTAGCCCTCACAGGGCAGGATACTTCTCAATTTCTCTTTTTAGCTTTCTCTTTGTTTCTCTCCAG